GGAGGAGGGGGGGGGGCATCCTCCTTCCCGTGGGAGGGGCCGATTCCATTGGAAAATCACCACATTTGCTCACAAGCCCTTTCAGAGACCCTGCCATTGTTCCCCAGCTGCATCCACCCCAGACGCACGTAGCACGTACGCACACACACGCACGTACGCACACACACGCACATACTCACAGTCCACTAAATGCAACATTCACCAATTAAAAACGTCACAACAGGTTTCTTTGCCAGATACTACTAAATGACCAGTCAACAACAGGGAATTCTGGGATACGGCCACCCTGTTCCACTCTCCCATGTACACATCTCTCCACTTCGGTGATTTGCTTATTGCTTCATCCAGTGTAAAAATCTGTACCCTACGTGCCCCCCATGGATAAATCTTCATATTCTCTTCTGATTTAAAGAAAAAGGGGCCAAAGGCTTTCACCACCGGTTCCTCTTGTCCATACCCCCCCCCACCATGGCATCCAGGCCCCCTCCATCAGGGAAAATGACGCACCTGAACAGCCTGCCTCCCTTGCTGAGCGTCGGCCAGAAGCTGGATGGTGACGGCCCGCGAGTCCTGCAGCGCCTCCTGCAGGTAGGTGAAGCTGTGGCCCGCATGCCGGCCCACGCTGCACTCCCGACAGATGGGCACTGAGCAGGTGTCGCAGAAGAAGCAGAACACCTGAGGAACGGGGGCGGGGGGGGAGGGGGGATGTGAGAAAGAGGGGGTGAGCTTCACGCAGAAGTGGACTCGGGGGGGGGGGGGGGGGGATGTGAGAAAGAGGGGGTGAGCTTCACGCAGAAGTGGACTCTAGCTTCTCAGAACTGAAGGCCAATATTCGTAATTCAACAGTGGAACAATGTGGGTAGCGACTCCTATGGTGGACACAAGGGGGCGCTAGTGTACATCAACCATGCCACACATTTCTGGACACAAGCACGGGGGTCACAGCCAGCGTGACGATTTCAGAAGACCTATGAGAATATCAAAATAAAACGTCTCCCCTCCGCACAGTACATCCACTTCTGCGTGTGAACTTGGCTGTCGTGAAAATCCAGTGTGGATTTTTTTCCCTCCGGTTTCTCTCCTCCGGGGGAAATTCACTGTCCCCCCGCGACCCGGAAAAATGACAAGTAACGCGTGACGGGGACAGTGAAATCGATGGGCCTGTCAATAGGAGAACCAAAGAGCTTGGGTCCAATTAGCACCAGATGGATGATCTTCGTTAGCAGCACGTGCCCTGGTGGAGGGGGATTCCGGTATGAAAAACACGTCACAGAAATAACAGAGAAGTGAAGAACAACAGCGAGCTGATAACGGGCTGAGAAGGTGATTTGGAGGGCAAAGAGTGTGGGGGGGTGGGCTAAGGATCAGCCAGATGAGAAACGAGTGATTTTAAGGCCTTTGCTAAAGCTTTAACTATAACTTTTAACTCAATTATAAAAATATTCATTTTTTCCCAGCCATATTCCCCCAGTAGCTCCCTGCTGGCACCAATAAAAGGTAAATCTAAAGCAAAACATCCCCCCCCCAGCGTGAATGAAGCTTCCAGATGCTCACAGGAGCAAGTGACCCTGCAAAGCAGACACCATGAGACACTCACAACACAACACGGACCCCCGCTGCACCAAGGGAACGGGGGGGGGGCCTCAGTGGCCCAATGGAAATTACTCCATCTATAATGGATGACTCCCACACCCACCCCCCGGGTGAATGTGATGACGACGCAGCCCAACCCTCACCGAGCATCCTCGGCATCCATGCACCCCCTCCCCCCCCCCCCGAGACCCACCCCTCCCCCAGGCCCTGCCCTGCCCCCAACATTTCCTAAATTCCAGGGTCAGCCGGGAACAAAGGCCTCTGGTGGGGGGGGCGCTCATTCCCCGCATCTACAAATCAGCTCTGGCAACATCCCATAATGTCCTCTGAGCCCAGCAATGAGAATTCTGTGTCCATTTACACGCTTCACCGTTTTCCTCGCCACTGTATCACGAGTGACACAATGCTCGTGTTTCACAGAAGCCGCCCCCTCACCCCCTGATTATAAACACTGTCTTCCCACAGGAAGAAAATCAATTTATTGATTTTACAGGATTCCATCTCCTGTTTCCAAGATTAAAATTCCCACTCTTCCCAGTAGATGCTGTACAGCCAGTTTCCCCACTAGGATGTCCTAACGATGCATCTCTCACACACACACACACACCAGACTGAAGACAACATTGGGTTCTACCATGAAAAGGCTTAAATGAATTTCTAAAAAATAAAACACTGATGCTCAAAAATTAATATTACTGCGTTATAGCTTAAGAACCGCACATTAATCCAACTGTAAATGTTAATTATGGGTGGAAGATGGTCTGCAGTGGGGGCAGGGGCTGGCATGTGGAGCCCCCCCCCCACACTAACCAGAAAACCCACCCAGGAAAACCCTGGGAGCATCAACACATGCAGCGTGCGCCCCATGTCCGTCAAGAGGTCCAAGACCCTGAAGACTGGTGGGGGGTCAACAACCAGCAGCTGAGAGTACAGCAGCGGGACTCCATGTTGTCAATCTGAACAAAGAACGCCGCCCTCAAAAGACAAAGCATAACGCTGAAGTGACCTCCCCACCCTTGTACCTGTACAGGTATCACTCGACATCACTGATACACGATCCGGTCCTGGGCCACATCTCACACCTCAACTCCTCTCCGCTCATCGGAGCAATTCCTAAATCGCAATTTTAAACCCTTAACATCCCTCAGTAAACCCATGCGACCTCAGTAAATACCTGCACAAAATACCCGCTCATCCCTCTGAGTCAGCTCTCACCAATTACAGTTAAATATACAACTAATTACATCCAACTCTAAACACAACAGGAGGTGGCATCGCCTACATACTCACACAGGGAGTGTCGATCCGGCCCAAACCGGTACCACAGTAGCAGCACCGATGCCTCGCCCACACACCAGCGTCACCTTTGACCCAATGTGACATGGGCCGGCACGGAACATGGGTTGAGCTACTCAGAAAAACCTGGATTAATTCCGGTAACATCGCGGAGTTTTCATCAGGCATCCCGGGATGGGCCGGCGGCGACAAGGGGCTAATCGGACAGTGAGATCACCCACCCGACTCGGGTCACACACCCTGCAGCTTCCTAATTTTAACGGTCGTGTGGGGGGCAAAGTTCATGGTTGTAGAAGCTTAGGGGGGGGCGGATGCAGGGGCTCGGGAGCCCTCGGAAGGGAGAAGTCACCGTCCGGGGGGGGCCCGCAGCCGCGTAGGAAGGACGCTCGCTACCGAACATGCGGGAGGAGACCTGGGGAGCACATGGAGCTTCAGATAAAGAAACATCTGGGGGTGTTCAGGGGTTCAATCAGTGCCACACAGCAGGGGGCGCTGTGGGCTTGAGGAAATGATTAACACAGGCAGAGTCGAGGTCATGATCAGGGACAGTCCAGCTGAAGATTCGGGGTGGGGTGGGGGGCATCGCCATCAGCCCAATCAGCCAGGGCCCCCCAGAGGCACGGTATAACCCCTCTGCTTTTTTGCTCAACGAAATTCCACTCCAGAACCAGCCCCCCTCCATCCATCCATATTCCCCACCTGCGAGCAGCCATCTCTCTGGAGCCGCCGTTAATCATCAGTACAACTGCCGGTTCCCCCCTCCCCCCCTTCTCAGCCATGGAGCAGAGCGGAGGCGGGGCGCACAGTGACAGCAGAGTTCATTCACCTATGGGAAGCCGGACCATGGTGGGCTCAGTGAACGTCGCTGAAGAACTCAAGACCCCCGCTGGACAACCCCAAAAGGGAGCGAACCGAGCGTGCGAGGGCCCCAGTGAACGAGGGCCCCGGTGAGCGAGGGCCCCGGTGAGCGAGGGCCCAGGCATTCCCTTTCCATGTTGTCAGCATGCATTTCTAAGAATCCTAGCCTACTGGCCTACAAGGGAGTTTTGGCAGCAGGACACTGTACTGCAGTGAGAGCAAGAGGATCACTGTTACAGGTTTTTTTTTCTGGGGGGGTGGGGGGTGTTACTGTGACAAGTTATTGCACATTATTGTTGTATATTTCATAATCACAGATTGTTACAGGTTCCCAAGGCAAACTACACAGATAAAAATGAGAAGCATGTAACTGGATATCTGTAGGTAGCTAACTACTTAGGCAGTAACGAACACTGCATACTTAGGCATTAACGAACACTGCATACTTAGGCATTAACGAACACTGCATACACGTACCTGAGAGAGGCACACCGCAGCTACATGAGATGACTCAGAACTAGACACGGACCTCATGTGGTCGTCCCCCCGCCCCCCCCCGCCCGTATGAATAACACCCCAGGTAACTAAAAATCTACAATCCAATGACATAGATGCAGCAGGCCACGTGAGTGTGAATTCTGACTTACCCGGGGTGTTACAGAACAGGACACGTCTATCGTGGTGCACAGGGTCGAAAAGACGATCTCTCAGCTTCAGCACAGAGCAAGCAGTAAATCATAGGTACCGGATCAGGCATCAGAACTCAAAACTCAATCTTACCAAGCGCCTAGCGGTGAGTGACTGAGTGAATGAATGTTCTCTTTATTAAAGGAAATTGAGGAGGAGAAGAATTCTGTGACTGCTGCAAAGTAGTTTGCATCTGATCAATGTGTTTTCAGTGACAAAACATCGATCTACCCTGTTGCTATGGATGTTCTTAGAGCCAGTGGAACATGCAAGACAGCAACAGAAAATTACATGTCTGGCCCCCCTTCCCAGAAAGCCAGCTGCACAGAGCCAGTTACAGGAGGAGCAGAGAAGCTGATAAAGTCAGTGGTGCTGGCTTTCAGAGATGGACGCCGATCTCCATCAAGAGGCTTCTTAAGATCCACGCCCCGCCTCACGCTCCTCCGTTAGCAAACAAAGGCCGCTCGGAGATCCCACCAGACGAGAAGTCTGGCTCCTGACGTCCCTCACGTGAGATTCCCTTGTGTGGAATGAGCTGCCAAACCACATCCAGTCATCAGAATCCTTCTCCACCTTCAAGAAACGCCTCAAGACCAATCTGCTCCAAGAATACCCCTACCAGCCCGATGCCATTCCGTGCTCCCCAAATTATCGTAATGTTGCACGCTCCACCAGATTGAGTAGTTTGTCTTATTAGGTTCTTACTTTGTTAGTAGTTCTTGTGTAGCTCCTGCTCCAGTGCTGCTTACACCTGGGCATCCGCTGGAAGCTCAGCCTAGCTGCACTTACGCCAACTCGACTCATCAACAGCACATGTGTTTGCAATGTGCCATTTGCCCCAACCGTACGTGTTGGGATCACTGCGGCACGGGTGGATTATCGGGGACCACAACCAGCCACAGGTTATCACAGAGAGCCTGAGAAGGCACCAGAAGAACCACCCAGCTCCCCATGATGGGAGACGATGGCTGCTGCTTGGTGGGGCACTAAGTAAAGCAGCAGACCCTCATAGGCAGATACCCCCCTAGGGTAATTATCAGTGATCAGGGTGGGATGGGGAGGAGTGGTGCAGGGCAGGGAGCAGTCGCACACACACAAACCCACCCACACACCATCCCCCACTCCCACCCTGAAGGCAGACTGACGGTTTAATATGGAGCCACTGGGACATTCTAAATGGGGTGGGGTCATCCACCAGCAAGACGCCACACAACTGCTCAGTGTTTAAGGGCCCCCCCCCC